ACCCCAGTGTTTGGATTATATCTCTTGTTTTTAAAAAGCTACGGGGGGAGTGGGGGAAGGTCAGGAATTCTGAATTTCACTATCAGCTTTCCTACATTTCATAATGCAAGTAGCATTGCACCCCTACTCACTATGAACACTTCTAACAGAAAATAGTTATCTGAAAACTAATTATCAGAACAAAGCAATTTGTTTGCCAACTATGTCACTGATTTTGTCTTCATCAACAATGGTTTAACAGCTGTATTACCAGACCACTATTCTTACATAAAGCTGTGACAAACTGAAACAATGGTCTGTGAACATCACAAATTGTATTTATTTTCCATATCATCTACCTAGTTTTGCCAACTATGCTGTTAGTTTTTCAGGAAAGTGGCAATTGCTACCATCCTAGCATAGCAAAAGTTTTAATTAAATCACCGATAAACAGCTTCTACAGATGGATTAGCAAAGTAGTTGCCATGAGGAGTTAATACTCTGGCTCCTTTTTTTCCTCAGAAGATGAAGTTTTTCCCAAGCCAAACCTATTCTCCCCACTTGCCATTGCTTGGAAAAAGACGTATCAGATAGTAATTCAGGGTGTATACCAATTCTGATTAAGCTGGACATCTAATTATCTGCTCAGATCCAGTACCAGAATCTCCCTCGAAAAAAGTGATCCATTCCAATAGTGCAGGAGTTTGGAAATTCAAGATGGTATTGAACCAGGACCCCCAGCAGCTCCAGACAGCATGGCCAACAGTGAGGGTTGCTGGAGCATTGCAGGTTCCCATCTTTACAATTCTAGAGGAGAAATACATTAAGTTTCTAAGCCTCTGCAGAGCACTGCAATCCCTAAACAGCTGCCAATCTACCCCAACACCAATGCCACCACCAACAGATACCCTCCAAAATATAGGATCAGTACTGTAACATCAACTACTGTATAAAAGCATGCACTCTGTCAAATATACTACAAACAGATAAATTGCTTGCAGGATTTATACACAATCAGACACTCCGAAGTCAAATATAATAAAAACAAACAAGCAATCTTTTTAACATGCTTACACAGACTAAATCTGACAACATAGTTCTTTGAGCAGATTCACTTGTCAGGATACATATTGCCTGAACAGCTTCAATTGGTTGCTCAAAAGTCACTGTTCCCATTCCCCGACTTTTGCCATCTTTGTCTTCTTTAATATCTGCACGTTTTACAGTTCCAGCAATGCTGAACACCTCCTTTAATTTCTTCCAGCCAACTTTAAAGTCAAGCTTAAAAAAACAAAGCTTCCATATGATAAACGAACATAAAGAGAATGGTTCTTAACTCTGTTCATGCTCTCAATGTAATTACATCTGTTATTTCATTTTTCAGTATGTTTATGTACATGGGTCTTATAAAAGAAGCAACAACCCACATTTCCTAATTAAAAATTATTAAAAAGGCAATTAACAAAAAGTATTAAAACATTATTCGTTTCCTGTTGATTACAATGTCCAAATGAGCAGTTTGTGAAACTTGAAAGTAGATTACAAAAACACTGAGATAAAAATCCTTTAAAAAATAAATAAATCCTAGAACTTGGAGAACATTAGACATACAAAACCAACATCAAATGATATCTACCAATGTTTAACATCCCATGCAAATAAGCATTGCTCCTCTCACCTATCAGAATTCTCATTTAATGATGATGTTATACTATAACAATTGCCCAGGAATCTCCACTGCTTTTCTATACTTACATTCGCCACAAAAATGGTGGATCCCAGCCTGCCAGCTTGTAGATTGCTGATAATCTCAGGAGGAATGTTTGGGTTATTAAGTATAGAAGGTGGCAAATTCATCAAGCCTGGTGCTATATCTGGACCATGTCCTCCTGTAAATGGTCCACTCCCACGCTGCAGTGCCCTGCGGGCATGTTCACCATCCAGATCCTGAAAAATATTTAACAGAGAGAATATGCTTCAGTTGATCCTGAATCAGTAGTAATAAATATTAAGACAATTTTAAATTCCACAAAAGCCCCAAAAAGCAGTTAGCATCCTTAGCAGTGGGTGCAGAAGGAACAAATATTTCATGTCAATAGAGACCTAGCTCCCTCACTTCTGTAAATGGCCTTGAAAGCAACAGCACACATTGCCACTTCTTACTGTGTTACCTAGCCCAAAACCCACCCAAAGTAGATATGTCAACCTAACATGTTTCTTCCAGACACCAAATTCAATGACCTTAGCATTATCTGTTAATATCATCTGTAGAAGACGTAATATTCCACGAAGGCAGGGTTTATGCACCGGAAATGCTGACGCCATATTCATTTCCACCCACTTTTTGGCTCACTGGTACATAACCAAGAGACACAGATACAAAACAATCATATAGTGTTTAAGGTCATCATTCACCCAACTCTAGATTTAAATCTTTCAAGTATGTAGATATATTTCAAGTCTTACAGAAAATCTGTGGGGCTTGACAAAGCACTCTTACTTGCAAGTTCCATTGTTTGAGGGCCCCAGAATTTTCTTATAAAATCTTAATGAGGCTGGAACATATTTCATTACCATTTTTACAAACAGCGTTGAAATGAGAACAGGAATTACATATACTCACAATTTTAAAAGAAAATTTGTACTTTTTGATATCTATTGCTTATTTGCAGAAATATAGAAAGGTTATTATTTTGTAAAATATATGTAAATCTATTCCAGTTCTTTTATTTTAAAAGAAAGTCAGTATGTTCTTAGCATTCTGCAGGAAAAATACAAATATACCTCTTTTATGTTAAGTGGTCTTCCATTAAGATCGTATTTATTCATAGTCTCCAATGCTTTCTTTACAAATTCTTCATCTTTGAATTCAACCACACTGGATGAAAAAAGAATTAAACATTGATTTATTTATTTTTAAGTGTTCTCCAAAATCATAAGTATTAAGAAAAAACATAAATAAAACATACTTACCCACAACCCTACATCCACGTGAAGGTTTGTCAATGTGGGAGAAGAACAAAAATAAATGAAAAATAAATCAGTAAATATAATTGTTATAGTAAGGTACTTTAAGATTTTTAGACAAACTGAAGAATAGATAGTCTGAATAAAGAACAGAAGTTTTGGAGTGGGAAGACCAGTTTTAACTAGAATTTATCCTACCACCTTTTACTCAAAAAGTTTTAAGTTAATTTGAAAGGCAAAGAAGGTGGTCGTTTAATTTGTTTTATTTCAGATTCTTTCCACTAGGTTTCTCTTGAGCCAAATCATATGCAGAATGTGGAAATGGCAAACACACAGCTTTATCAATGAAAAAGCTGAGGATATCCAATAATATCCCTGGACTGTTATCTTGAGGAACAATATTCAAATTTTCCATAACATGATGGCGATTATTAACAATTGCTGGTGTTCTTGCCTTATTTAAAATGGAACACTTGATTTTAAAAAGTTACTCTTTAACCAGCTTTGGTTTATTTTTTTTTAATAAAAATTCCAAAGGGTCAAATGAAAATTGCAGTTAAATAAAAATCTTAAGGGGAAAAAATCAAACACCGAACAGGTTTTTACTGATTACATTTGAGTCAAACCTGCATTTCTCATGTTCACAGAGCAGGCTCAGATTTACTACAGTTTGAACGTTTGACCCTTTTAAGAAGAAAGACACAAAGCAGCTTTAAACATTATTTGCACAAAATTGTCTCCCTTGTTGCAGGTATCTCCTACCTAACAGCCAACTTCTTCCATTCCATTTTTTTAAAACCTAGACAAGTTTTTTAAAAACCTAGACAAGTTCAATGATCCAAAGTAGTCCTGCACTCTTTAGGCTCATCAAAGTTTATACTCAGCCTCTAGTTAGAATGCTACACTTAATTTATCATTTCAGTTATTTTTTTTCCAGTCCTCAGCTTAAACACATCTGAACACAACAGAAATCCTAAAGTGAGCTGCTGTTTTAAATTAATTAGGTAAATGCCATTTATTTAAAACGCATATTAAAAGGGCTTTTCCCTTGCATCCAGCTACACTAATTTAAATAAAAGTTGACAAACTGTATCTGATACAGAAACCTCTGTCTGTAATATCAATATTAAAAAATGAAACTTACTTTCCAGTTACTGGTACAAGTATTATACAAAAGTAAAACTGCTGAGGAACTTTAAACCTCTAGCAGATGTTTGCCCACGGCACTTACCCTTGATTTTCCTTCTGCATCCTTAAACAGCTCCACGTATGTAACCTCACCAACTACATAAGACATACAAAGGGAAAATACCAAGAGACAATGCATTTAAACACCAGTGTCTTTCTTTGCTGTGTCCCTGTGCACAACTCTACAGAGAAACACCTATTATTCACCAACAATCAAAACCAGACCAACATACCTCCTGTCAAGGGCTATATAATTTAGCTAATTTTCAGGAATATGCAACAGCCACATTCTCAAAAGCTAGAAAAACAACTATGTTTAACCTAATTCATACTATAGATCATATTTTGGCCAGTATGATATGGTTGGTGAACAGGTTCAGATATACAAATAGTCCCTTCACCTATCAATTAGAACATCAACAATAAACACTTTTCAGTGACATTTGTCATCCTGCTAACAACAACTGTTTTAAGGTGACTTTCTCCCTGAATAGCTTCAAATAGTAAAGAGGTTGCCTTCAATAGAATAACCAATTTACAAGAGTCAAAAAATTTCACAGCAAGCCACACACTTTCTAAAATAAAGTTTCATTGCATAAAACCAATCATATAGTCACGTCACCTTACAACAGATACACCTAGCACAATTAAAGGTTTGTTTTGATTAAAATACCTAGAAACCAAATATTCTTTGAATGATTTTGAAGCAATCATATTTTCCCAAATTAATACAAAACTAGCTTTTGACAGTTCATGAATTGGGATTTCACCTGTCCCAGACCTGCCCGTGGCAAGAAGTTTGAGAAATTCAAATAGTTCTGTCAAACTACAGCAGTAGTCACACACTTGATAGAGAGCTCCAGACAGACAAGTCATGGCAGAAGTGACAAGGCAGACAGAAATAATTCCACAGCCAGATTCCACCAAGGAAAAATACTGAAAAATCTTTTCAGAGGTATCCTTTGTCTTTCATGCTTAGGAACACACTAAGTAGTGCTTATATTCAGAACTATAGCTAGACATAACACACTCCCTTTAAAAGTTCATGAGAACATGCATGTTCACTACACTGTCTGTTGTCATACTAGTATAGGAGACTGGATATTTCATTCATTTACCAGACTGTCCTGCAATGCAAATGTCTCCAGTGAAAGAAAAGGGGGAAATAGACATATGAAGCAAAAGTTGGAAAGGACAAACCAAATTCGTATGATTTATAATATTCCAGATATTTATGATTGTCCCATTTTTTTGTGAAGAAGGCGGTAGGAAGCAAGTTACCTTTCTCTCTCATAAGATCTTTAATGGACTGCCACTTCATGTCATACGGGATGTTGCTAATGAATACTCTGTTACGATTAACAGTCTTCTTCTCCCCAGTCCCTGCACTCTTTTCCTTTGTGTATGGATGAAATCTATTCCGGTGTCCCAGAGATGGGATTGCCTTTGGTTTTGAAATATATTTTGCTTTCACTGGTAGTGTCTCATCTTTTCCTGTTTCATCATTTTCCCTGCAATTGGAAACAACAAAAAGTTATGTTTGTTTTGAAATGTATGATTATGCTAGCTTTTAACCAAAAAACCACCTAGCATGAGCAAAATTCGCAGAACAACTGGGAGACCCTGCTATATCAAGGTATTTGATCCTTCAGAGTTCTGGTTATATTGCACCAAGCAGTCATATAAGTCCTCTTGGGATCTTCTCACTCAACACAGCAAAGGCTTAAATTATGAATGTACACGAGGATGCTGCGACAGGGCCAGCAGGTGCAATCTTCCTTTTTTCATGTGAATACAGTATCTCTTAAGGCTGGATACCTGAAATTCTGTTAAATGTGTTGGCATCTGCACTGTGTTATGTTTTTGTGAAGAGCTGCCATAGTGTTGAATCCAGATTGCAACTGCAGCATGAATGGAATGAGGTTACCTATTTGTTGTTCATGCAAACAGCATCTTCCAAGAACACCTGCTTGGAAGGATACTCAAAAGCATTGCAAAAGTCTTCCAAAGCTGGCCATCAATGTTTCAGTGTGTGAGACCAATTCAACTGCACATTTATAATGTAGTATTTGTTTTATTTATTCTTTGCAAGGATAGTGAATCCTACACCAAAGAAAACTTGGAGGCAAAATGCAATTGAAAATCTTTCTGAATTCAACTGGAACTAGTGAAGTTCCAGGTTTTTATAAAACATACAGGAATTACTGAACAAAGTACAAATCATTTAGGACCTAGAAATTGTATTTGACCCATAATTATTAGTTTCCTTATCTATCATTTGTGATTTTCAAACATCCAAAAATATCCCCAATATATGGAAAAAAAAAAAGGAAGCAAAACCAAGTACTTGCCTAAATATCAGAGGCTGCCATGCTTAGAAGCATCCTTACTTGTTTGAAAAAACCAAGTGAGCAGTACTCAAAGCAAAGAAAGCTAAATTCTCTTCTATGAAGCCATCACTCTAAGAGCAAGCTGAGGGTCAAAGTTACCGCTATTAAGAAGCAGATTCCCCCATGAACAATGCAGATAACTGCTTTGCTTTTCAGTAGACTGAACAGCTGACTTGACTAAAGGACAAACATTCCTTTGCAGCAGCAAATGTAGAGACTAATTAGTGTAGTAAGACTCCTACTGTATCATACAAATGGTCCAGAGCTGCATTTCTGACAGCAGCTTACAAGAAGTACCTGAAGTACAAATCCTCCTCCACAACATCTAGTATGCAATTATGTACTATAATTGCATCAGAAGTTTTATATAGCTATCACAACCAATATCTTGCAATTCAAATGGCTACCTGCATCTTATAATATTGAATACCACCTAATTATTTGTGAATAAAATGCCACTTGTTTGCTCTGAATGTAACGCTGATCAGTTTCACTACACAAAATTAACTTGAAATTATACAAGTGGGAAGGAAGACAAAACCCTTTACTATTCATGATTATCCAAGGAATGGGAAGGTCAAAACCACACAGACATTCACATTCTATTTAATTATAACAATCCTGCACCAGTTGGATGTACAAGTTCCTTCAGACCCTTCTAAGGTCAGGATGGCTCAGGAAGGTTTTGCACGTTACCAGTGGAATCCATCCAGAATAAGGCTGAAAAACAATTACAGGAGGTTAAAGCTTCTGCCAAAATAAAACCTATCCTTCACCAGACTGAAAAAAAATAGGTAAGTAAATCGTTTGCTTTAGTATTTGCAACCTTCTAGGCATCTCTATTTAAGACTGGTCAGCCAACAGCAAGCATTGCACTGGCAGGCTGGATCAACTGCTGCCATCACGGATGATCACGGTGCTTCCTTGACAGGACATGCCCAGGGCTGTATAGCAAAGGCCACAACGCATGCATTTCTTCCATGTCATTTACAATCTACTTGAACCTGCAACCAATAGCAGGATCACAACGGGGGCGGGAGGGGGGCCTGCGGTCCGCAAGAACTTCTGCTCCAAAAAAACCCCTGCTTTAAGATGCCACGGAAGACACTCTTTGTTCTGCTGCCTGTTTACCGACTCGGGACCAAGCCCCCGTCTGCTTAATGAGCTTGACTCGCCTGTCAAGCGTGCGAAGGGCTGCCCCGTAACACGTCTGAATCCGGACAGTCCCATCTTCCTCCCTTTAGAGCAGCCCCCTTCTGACCGCGAACCCCCTCAAAAGCCTTCCTAACCACGAACGCCCTCTTTTCTACGGCGTACAGAGCTCCCGAGCAGCCTGCCTGCCTTCGCCCACCGCCTCTCCATGGCTGCCCAGCGAGGACCCCCACAAGGCGAGAGGGGAAGAAGAGAGGAGCGTGCCCTCAGTCTCCTCCAGGGCGGAAGGGAAAGGTAGACCTGCGCTCCTCCAACCCCTCGCCGCGCGGCCTGTGCGGCCCGCCGCATCCCCGTCCTCAAGTAGCGGCCTCGGCCCCGGCGCCACGCCCCCTTCCCGGCCAAGACACGCGGGGCGCGCGCGCAGGCGTGAACCTCC